TTTTTCTCTGCCAAGAATGGTGTGAATCAGCCAACTAAGCAATCTTGGAATTATCGAGACCCCAATTACGCTTTTTGTAGAGTATTTTAACTTTCTGATTTAACCGGAAGATAAAGAAGTCAACATTTTTTCGCAGTTCATTATTCCTTTGCGATAAAGAGTTTAGCAAAGAATATACAGAACCTAGCGAGATGAGGAAAGAACAGTAATTTCTAGTTTATACAAGATTGAACAGCTGATGTAACAATAAAAGTAAAGAAATGCTGCAGAGTAAGCTGTAGCTAACTGAAAATACAGCTGCAGTTTTAGTAAAAGATCCGTTTTCAGTCGTAGTTATTTCTTCCGGGAGGGTCATCATATTAGAGTATGACGTCAAGAGGTCCAATATCACTCCATTAGTCCAACCAAAACCATCCTAAACAATTTTTGCTTTAAAAATCACGCACATTAATGGGAAAAAGATGTATAAAAATTGTAACGATTAAGGCTTACTTGCACTCCATACTCTCCTCCCTCGCCTGGTTGTGGAACTGTTCCGCTGACGTTGTACTAAAAATGTATTTAGGGCATCGTAACAGCTGTTATTTTAGAGACATAGTTTTTTAAAATTAAACTGTTAAACAGTGACTAGGAAGACGAACTTTTTCCCACATCGCTCCAGTCTCCTTGTAGACTCTGTAGTTCCATTCCACCCAACGACGAGCTATTTCAAACGCCTGCAAATCAGCATTTCTAAAACTCACGATTTTTTCTAAATGAAGAGTAATTTGCTCTTAAGAAGCCCTTTAAAAACGATGCATAACTGTGTTCTTTTCTTGACAGTCTCTATGAACTTGAGGAATCAATTAAAATTATAATCTACATTTTACACCAAAAAACCATGCTGTTTGATCCCGACCAGTATACTTTTATCTCAAGAACTTGGTGCTCAGAAATTCAGTATAAATATAAAATTGCAAATCATAACTGAAGAACGTCAGAATGCCATAAAAAAGTCAGTGAGTCCTGTCATACCTAGTTAGAGTGAACTAAGAAACGAATTTTGAGCATTTACTAGATTTAGATAAAAGCAGAAAACGATCGATAGTTGATTAGAAATTCATAACATCGGAAAAATGAAATTTGCTAAGTAAAATATTGAATGGTCAGATGAAAAATACGTGTTCCACATTTTCAGTTGAAGACAAAGCCACACTAGCGAGAAGGTTTGATATTCGCAGAAAATAAGCCGAGGATGAAGCACTACTCAATAAATTGTCAAAAACACGGTTTACAAATATAGTTTTGTTTCCAACTATTCAATACATAAGCTGGAATATAAGAAGTAAACTGTTTTTTTAGGACCAGGCATTAAGTGTACAGCTCTGGTCGACAGTTTAAAGATTCATTCACAAATAATTAAAACAATTTTTTAAAAAAGCGAATTTTGAAGCCGCAGAAACAATTTGAAAACGCTAGCAGCGAAACACTTGAAAAATGGTAAACCTCTACTTTTATTATTCATTTCATCTCATAAAATTATTAACTCCCATATTCAAAGAAAAAATTTTGGATTAAGTACTGCAGTTTTTTTGTCACCAAAAATTAATTTTAAGAAAACAGAATAGATAATAAATAGTTCCTGAAATATTAGTTTAAAAGCTCAGTGGTCGGGTGCAATTTTGAAACTGATACGCAAGAGAGGCAACTGCGAAATTTTTAAAATGCCAGACACCAAAGTAACCAGAACAAAATTAGGCAGTATTAGAGCACATTAACACCAAACTATGAACTAGTGAAGATGTTCCACCAATCACATCTTTAGACAACTGACTCAAGAATATGACCAATTTGAGATAGTTAGAGTATTCTGACTAAATTACTTTTTCTATAAGTTTCCCAGTTACATGATAAGAGAAAATGTTGATTATTTTAAAAAGAATTTTCTTAAATCCTAAACAGCACACACCATATTTCGATTTATACGGGCCACTTTGAAACTCTTAATCTTTTCATAAGTCTAAACAAGAAAAGTTGTAGAAAGATAAAAAATTTTTACAAAGAACAGAGGAAACAAGGAAATATAACCGATGCCGCCGTATGTAGTGTTAGTTTCCTTTGAAATTAATTAATTTATATTAATACATACGTGATTATTTTTTATCACCGCTTTTTGATCAGTATCGCAGTAAATCAATGCTAGAAAATTCAGAGAAAGACAATTTTTCTAACCAGTAGTAAAGCATTGTCTTATTTTATAAACTCATTTTAGATAATTATGTTTCACTTAATTTAAATTAAAATTTAGTGTTAAGAAACTAGAAAAGTAATTACAGTTAAGCAAGACAATTACTTATAACCGTATTGCTTAATGTTTACCTGTTGCTGAGTCTGCGCATTATTCGACTTGCGCATCCCCTCGATGATCAAATGTTGTAATGGAGGAAAACCGTTTGGGAAATCCCACTGTTCGTTAGTTTCTTTCACCAGACTGGTTGGTATACCACCAGGATAGTTAAATGCTCCAGCCTTCTGCAAAAGCATGCAGCAGTTTAAAAAATTTCAATGACTCAACTGCTGTAAAAAGAAAAAAGACGGCTGCAAGTAGAATATCGCTAAATTTTACTTCCATGTAATCGTAAACCCGTTGCGGCTTCGCTAAATCCATCTCTTGGTAGCATGTTGCAAACAGAGGCATCACAACAGACGGGTAAAAGTTTGGGTTGTGGGCTTTTTTTTCTGTGTCGTAGTCAAACCAAGCTCCCAGTGTATCATTATAAAACACATTTTGTATTGCAAACCTTATCTTAGCCTTTTCTATACCCATTTCTCGCGCTCTTGTAAAGTTACCTAAATATGAAGTGTCCATATAAAAAATAGAACCGGAAAGTTGAAGCCGTATCTGTCGAGCCGGTCAGGTGACGTTTAGCCGTACAATGAAGTTTTTACATAATTTTTTTTAGTAGTTTTGGTTATAAACTTTGACAAAAAACAAACGATTTTCAGCGTCTAAGCGAGATTAATGTTGTTTTAGAAATTTATACCATATTCTCGATAAAAATACTCCATCATTCCCAAGTCCCAACAAAGATAAGCATTCAGGTCAACTGGTACTATTTTTGTTGTCTTAATGGTTCCCAGCGTTTTTCTGTCAGAAAACCAGCGAGTACTGAAATCCCACCCAGACTCGGCAGCTGACGCTATATCCTAAACATTTCTTTCTACTTCCAGAAAACCAGTTCAGTTTTCGTTTTTAGAAGAAAAAAGTATTCAGAATAACATATCAAATAATAGAAATTTATTCACCTGATAAAGTTGTAGCCTTTTATTCTTGTCAACTTTTGTGGCTAAGGTAAGATCCTCTCTATAAGATTCTGGTCTAGGTACATTACTTTCAGTACGGTAATGATACATTCGATAAGTATAACTGCTACCAGGCAAAGTAACATTGATGACTCTGTAAAAGTGGAATAGATGACTTCAGTCCATTTTTTTTTTTTTAGATATCGACAGTTATTGTGGTTCTGGTAATTTTCTAACAAGCTTACCGTCTTTTCCGCCAGAAATTTAGCTCTTTCTCAAGTGTTGGCAACATTTTTTTCAAAAAAACTTTATCATGAGTATATTGGTAATACTGATACACCATTGGTGCAAACATCGGAGGTTGTGATCTTTTCAAAAAATAAATCCTCCCACCATTTGGAATGAATCCATACCTAAAAAAAATAAAAAGCTAATGAAATTATTTTTTTATGTTTGGATTTCTAATGAGAACATTTGTTCAGATCGATTTTTGTTTGACTTTTGTGTACATTACTGCTTGAAAAAGAATGGTGTTTTGAAATTAATTCTAAAAAGCCCACTTCTCGACTATGTGTCGAAAATTCAACAGCATTGACTTTGTTGTGTTGTACATTCCAGAAATCAAAAGTCCCTTGATTATCCAGTATGTATCCCAATAAAAGAACTCACGAAAACGACCACCGGGAGCAATAAATTCATTTGGGACATAAATTAAAGAATTCCTTTCTGGATTTACTGGTTTCATCTAAATTTTTTAGTTAAGTTACCTTTACCTTTAGTCAAGTAAATTTTTTAATGCTGCAATAAAAAATTTTATTATATTTTACTTGAAACCGTTAAAAAACAAACTCTTCAGCAATTTTTTAACCGCTTTACTTATTCGTGAAAAATATTAGTAAAACTTATACTTTGCGACAAAGTTTCTTCCATATTCCATTGAGTTCTAGCGCCCACTGTCTAAGAGTCGGATCGCGAATTTTCATTATCATTGGCGGTTCTTTTTGCCAGTCTGTCAGATTACAGGGCTCCAACTCGGTGCCAGGTTCTTCAAAATACTTGTCCACAAAATCCCGTAGTTCACCACGATCGATATCGTACAATGGGGTACCAGAAAACTGTTGTTTGAAAGCTCTGTAGACAACAGCTGCAATAACATTTTTTATTACTTTCTGTTACAAATATGCAGTTTAATTTAAATAGAATGACATGATAACAGAGACAACAAAAGAAAAAGCTAGCTTAAAAATTCTTCTCAAAAAAATGCCATTACTTTTAAAAAACTGACACTTTCCACATTTGACTTACAATCAACAAACCTGGGTCATCTTTTAATGGCTTATCCACAAAAGTTTTTGAATCAGTGTAAAGACTGTGAATATTGACTGCCGCCAAGAGGTCACCGGAACAGTATATCATGCTATATAAGAAAATTAGTAGAAAATAAACTTGAATAAACGTTTTCTACATTTATTAATCTTTCTAATTTTTCAACTGATAAGCTCAGACATAAATTATTACTGCAAGGTTGCGCAGTAAGTTGAACACTCAACAGCTGCTTATGTCAATCTACAATACTGTTAATTTAGGTGCATCAAAACAAGTAAAAATGAACAATTTATATTGACAAATATTGCTCATAAAGTATCAATTCTTTTTGAAATTATCAATTAATCACATTAGAAACTTACTAGTTTTTAGTTGTATTTGCATCACAGACATGAATAAGACTCTTAGACTTTGATAAGTCATCGACTACGGCAGCAAGTTTTTTTGCATTTTCTCTGTTGTAATTAAATAATCCGGCTCCTGGAAATTTGCTGTTATCACCAAGAAAAGACGCAGCAGCATCTAAAAAATTGTCTCCGCCCAATGACATGGCGGGGAAGGAATCAGACAAGTGGAAGCCCTCGAATTCTGTGCGCTTTGGCGTCCTGTTGTCCGAAAGTGAAGTAATGCACAGAACTTGTGGCAAAAAGATAAACAGTTTGACAAATTCCAAATCCATTCTGTAACAACGATATTGTAGCCTTGAAATTACATGGAGAAATTTTTGAAGACAAATTGCTTTTAATAGCTGTTACTTTGCATAAAACAGTCATTTTAAATTACAAAAAAAGTACGGTCAAGAAGGCATCAGAAGTGTTGGCGAAGAAAGAAGAAAATACATTGAGAAAAAAAAACTCGCACAGAATTTCTACAAAAAAAAAGCAAATAACGGTACGTGCGACCAAAATATTATAATCTTCTGTAAAACTAATTTATTAAAAAATTATTTAATATAATAAAACAGGAAGAAGGCACGTGTAAAAGTGTTCTCGTTGTTAGAAATTAACTTTTTTCAAAGAGAGCATAAACGTATATATATATATATATATATATATATATATAT